ATGAAACTGTTGGAGTAGAATTCACACCATCACAATCGAATCGGTAAGATAAAGAAAATGATAGTGCTTATTCCCTCCTAGACTCCGGTTGTCATACCACTCCAATCGTCCAGTTACAGGTCAAATGATACCCTGATGCTCCCTCCCAACCCAGTATTTATTTATATATATATAGTAAACATAGGGGAATTTACGTATTCTCGGCAACCTAAGCAGAGACCTTCTTTCTATAGCCCTTTTCTCTAAGGAACGCACACATATGCAGTATTGGTTTGTTTACAATATTTTGCTGCCAGCTGCTCTAACAGTTTCAGTCGAAAGAATTGTCAAAAACTGTTTTGAAACGCTTATACAAAGCTCCAATCTTCTCTAGTGAGAGCGAGTATTGTCGGCAACCAGTTTTTCTTCGGCAACCGTTCCATTTGAACTGCATGTAAATCTGCTGTTCTATTATCAGCAACTCGAAATCAGCTACAATTTGTAGTACGTGTGTTTCATTTCAAGAAAACCTTGCTAGATTGCTTTTTCTCAGTGGTAAAAGTATAGTCAAATTGAAGCTGAAAGCATAAAGAATCGTTTGCATGCATTCAGCGAAGTGTTTTCGTGGGAAAATCCAGTGAAAATAGTGTTTCAATTTGGGTTGCCGAAAATAGTCTGGCATGCCGAAGCCGTCATTTCCCCTATGTAATGGAGAAATGAAATATATCAGAACATTAAAATACGTAATAATGAAAATACATTTATATGGATAAAATAAAACTGGTATTCCGCAATGAAAATAATAATTATTTTACATAGAATATGATGCAGCTCTATGTCTCCTCAGCTCCCAATAAGGAAGATATAACCCTGAAATTTCCCGGTTATATTATGCAAATAAATATTTTTAGCTAGAATGATACTTGATATGTTTGTGTTGTGTTATGTTGTGGGAGAGCTTGGGATTAAACCCATGATATTCTGCTCATTAAGCAAAACCGATACCTCTAAGGTTATCGAGCATCTCAAAACCAAAACAATCCACGGCAAAACATGATTAAGCCCTCACCTGGTATTTAATTAACAACAGAAATACGGGATAATTCATATATTTTCAGCATATGATGTAATATCACAACTGTTGATAAAAGGAACGGATCCCATCTTATTTAAGACCTGGATGACCTGAAATGTGTGTAACCGGGTTAATACTCATTTAAATGTAATGTAATATGGAAAATGCGTATAATGCCATGTAACAAGATACAATAAACACAAGATTTTTACAAAACAGATAATGAACGATTCAGATTTCTTTTCAAGCTGGCACTATGCTTCCCTGGAGCCGCTCATAACAGCTAACATTAAGAATTAAGCATAATAAAATGTAATTTAAAATAATATTAAATGATGTAAAGTCAATAATGAAAGATATGTAGTACTATAAACACTATACATATACGATAACCAATAGGGCGGTGCCACAAAAAAGGCGAATGATCATTAAACCGCACGATGCAATGGTTTGCGAGGATTGTCGATCGTGTATGGCTGTGTTAGTCTTTCAGGCATCCACCCTCGTTGACGGAGATTGGCACGGCCCATGAAGATACCGGAGTGACCGTGTCAAGAGGGAAATGCTCTTATACGGTTCGAGAACCAGATGTTGGAAATGGTCCTTTACAGATAGACGTAGTATTGCTTCTCCGACTTCGGCAATTCAGTTAGTTTTGATTTATCTATGACGCGGGAGATTCGTGGAATCCCAGAACATCATCGTTCCATGATTGTTCCGTCAATTTACGCTGCAAAGTTTGGCCAAGTTGATTCCGCAAGATCGTTCTTCACAGATGGATCACTAATAGAGTCGTCCGCTGGTTTTGGTATTTTTAACGAATTTCATAGCGCCTCTCGAATGTTTCAAGCTCCTTGTTCCGTATATGTTGCTAAACTGGCGGCAATACACTTTACGCTAGAAACGATCGCCTCACTTGCACCAGATCACTATTTTATTTTTACGGATAGTCTCAGTTCTGTCGAGGCTATTCGATCCATGAGGCCGGTAAAGCACTCCTCGTATTTTCTCATGAAAATACGAGAGCTTCTGAGTGCTTTATCTTTAAGATCATTTGTCATCACCTTTGCATGGGTCCCATCTCATTGCTCGATTCCGGGCAATGAGAAGGCGGACTCACTTGCTAAGGTGGGCGCTATGCAAGGCGATATTTACGATCAACAAATCGCCTACAATGAATTTTTTGATTAACCTTGTGTTTAGTTTGTGTATTGTGCGTGTAGTTTTTTTTTAATGTTTGTTTTCAAGATGAATAGAAATAAGTTCATGTTTTAGGATTAATTAAATATTTGTATAATAAATCATATTTCAAACCTCCTTCTCCCTTTTCCCATCCAAAAAATTGTAAATCTCCACTAACCTCGAGACGACCGCGAGTAATCGGTTCAATTCCTTTAACTCTAGATTTAAGACATTAATCATGTATAATGCAAATGATAACTCGGCTCTGTAAAGTTTATTCGATTGAGCCTGTACAAATAAATTAATATAAAAAAAAAGATAGACGTAGCAAACCGAAGTCTACTACGGCTGGAGCCCCTGACCAGACAAAATGGCGACTTACCGTCGAATTAATAGGTTAATACAAAAGGCCCTGTAAGGGTAGTGGGAGGTATTATAAAAGCCGTACTAATCTTCTATGCATTAGTAGTAAGCTAGATTTAGTTGGATTTTATGCGTAACTTTATGAGCAATGGCGCTCCTCCTTATTCGCTTGGACCCCATTGTAGCTTCTTTGTTGATGCTTGTTGGGTTGGGGGGGGGGGGGGAGGGGTTTGTTATCACCATCTTTGGATTTTGGTTCACTTCGTCTGCTGGTCTACTCTCCTATTCGGCCGTTATCCTTTAGTTGTTGCATCCACTGGCTTGCATGCGATTCAGCTCACTTGTTTTGTATAAAATTCAAATTGTCTACTAACCTAATAACATGTTTGATTGACAGTTTACACATTTCTACTAACATGTACAGCCTTACTACTATACCTATTTTTTAATTTTAATAATCTCGGACTGAACATTGCAAGTTCATACTGCAGTTGCTTAAAATTCAGCCAAACTACATCAAATTCCCAACAATTTTCTTGTGGAATCCGAGATTATGGCTGACGAGCTATTGGCCTATATCAAATCATCTAAAAACATGAAGGCCCCATGTTTCGACCAAATTCTGAATCTAGAACTCAAACACTTGAGTTCCAGATTCTTCAACCAACTATATGATTTAAAATCAGTGCCTTAGACTTGGCTACTTCCCTTCGTGCTGGAAGTAAGCTAAGGTCATCCCCATCTGGAAACCTGGGTAGGATCCGTCCTCTCCTTTAAGTTACCGTTATCTAAGTTGTTTGAAAGGGCAGTCTACCACCGGTTCCTAGCATCTGCCGATGAAATCAACTTTCTGCTCGAAGAACAGTTTGGCATCCGTAAAGATCGCTCGACTGTTCAACAACTGACTCGGGTGACAAACATTCTCAGACGAAACAAGTCTGTATCCAAAACATCTGCCATGGCATTCTTGGACGTTGAAAAAGCGATCGATAATGTATGGTACGATGACCAGATCTACAAATTGCAGCAATACGGTCTTCCAATCTTCCTTGTGAAGATCATAAAAAACTATCTCTCGGACAGGACATTCCAAGTCTCTCTGAATGGCCTCTAATTCGGGTGCGGGTGTTCCACAAGGAAGCATCCTCGGACCCATCCTTATTCAACCTGTAAACCTCCGATATACCGGCTCTCTCTGATGGTGGATCGTAGTTCCTGTTTGCAGATGACACATCCATCATCTATAAGGGTAGGATCATCGGAGCTCTGACTGGCAAACTTCAGAGAGGACTGGATATCCTGTCTGATTATTTCAACAGCTGGTAGATCCACATAGACGTGGCAAAGACCCAGGTCATCATTTTGCCTCATTCCAAATCTCCCAGACTTGTTCCGTTTGAGAATAATAAGATCAACTTGAACGGCACAGTGGTGGAATGGTCCAAAGAGGTAGTCTACCTCGGCCTTACACTCGACAGCAGGCTACTTTTCCGGGAACACGTTGACAAAACAAAAACCAAATGCATCATCCTGATGAGATCCCTGTATTCGCTCATCAACAGGAACCCTGTCCCTGAAAAACAAGCTTACTGTCTACAAGCAAATCATCCTTCCCGTAGTCGAGTACGGTATGCCAATTTGGGAGAGTTCACAACCAGGGTTACTTCCACTCACTTCGCTATAAAAAATGTGTTTCGATTTTATGGAATCATTGGATGCTATAATGATATTTTGAACTTGTCAGATACATGAAGAGGTTCGAAAATATGTATTTGACACATAAAACCTGTCAATTTTGCTTTCAGTGCGTCACAATCAGCGTTTTTATGATTCGCGAGCGTTCACGTATAATACTCGTTTGAACCTGTAGCACTTCAAGATCGAATCTTCAAGATGATCTGGATAACTTATATTACCACGATTCTGATTATGTCTCCAATATTGATATATCTTTCTGATCTTACTGCTACAACATATTTGCTCGTTATTTTAAGAAAAATCTGCAAATTTATGATGATTTATTATTTTTCCAGGCCGTCAAAGTGTTCATGAATATCCCAGATTATAGTTTTTTTTTTAATAGCTGAAGTAGTTTTGAACAATGTTGCTATATGATTATCTTCAAACAGTGATTTTGGACAGCCTATTTTGAGTAAGGGCTATATATGACCCCGCATCAAGTTACAAGTTTGGTTTTACCATGGTTTTAAAGAGGTGTATAAGGCTGAGAATGAATGTGACCAGAAATGTTGCTTGGGGTAAAATCGAACCGGTTAAAAAAAAATTTAAACGGTCATGAAACATTTTTTTGGCGGCTAGTTTCCCGTTAATTACACAGCTGAACGAGCATTTGAGAGTCCAAATAATTAACCCCGTTATTTATTTTCATTTTCCTTTACAGCTACAGATGAAAAACATCTGTCGTCTAATATCGCCCAAGTCTAGATAGTGGATCTCTGTTTCCACACAAACCCTGACCAGAGCACAATAAAACGATACATCCCATCGAAAGTGGCAAACAAATCTGGGCACTCCCCTCCGAAAACGGACACGACGGAGCTTCTTATCACATTTGAAGCGAACTTGAAACTCGACACTTGGCGGGAAGTGAAAACGGACAAAAAGCAGGAAGTTCGAGATTGCTTTTCCAGCTCTGACCATCCTCAACAAAAGCTCCCTAATTCGTTAAAGCGACGGAAGCAAAACAGAATCGAAACAAGAAGACACCGGAGCTGGAAGCGTTTTTCCTTACCCCATCAATTGGCTTTTGTTTGCTCCGAACGGTAGCGTCTGTTCATCTCTCTCGCTCTCATTGGGGAGCGACGGAAAAGTGACCAGCAGCGGAGAATACAAACAAAACCATATTAATAGCCAAACACATTAAGTTCGATATCGACGCGTGTTCGACAACGACCAAGGCCAAGAGACGACGAAGAAATCGACGGTGACCGGTCACCGAGTGAGCAGCAAAGTTAACTCAGTGGTCATCGAAGGGCACCCGCACTCGCGATTGATTGACTGTGTGGAACTAATTTTGGATCGTCGTTTTTCTCGTGATTTTTGTGCGTCGGGAAGAGCGGTTTCAAAAAGCGGCTGTTTAGTGCGATATAAACGGGAGTGCTGTTTAGGTTTTACGTCCGATGCCTGAAAATGTAAATAGAAGAGTGGAAAATATTCGGTGACCAAATTAAGGCTTTCCATTTGTGAGTGGAAAATAACGTGTTTTTTAGGGAAGAAAGAAGCGGTGCGTCACGCGTTTGTTGTTAGTAGTTCACCACCGTTGGCTGGTGTTCGAGGAGTAACTGCTGCAAGATTACGACCACCGACGACAAAATGACGGAGGCCGACAACTATGATGATGAGGTAAGTTTATTATGAATTGGGACTACGACAATATTATGATTTGGTCCTAAGCGGATTTTGATAGAATCATCAAAATAAAATAAAAATCGCTCTAGCCCAACCTCTGTTGAAACGAAAACCTGTGACCATTCAAATCAAAAAAATCGAAATCGCTTTTTTCGAATGATAGCTGCAACCGGTTGTTTTATAATCAGATGATGCTCCACTCAAATGCAGGATGAACATTCATACGAGAAGCGAACGTACCATAGTTGAACTACGTAATGCTCACTGTAGAATGATTGTCTTCCCAAAAAACGCAAACTTTACCTCATCAATCGAGAACAACCCTTTTTTGGTTCCATTTGGAGTCTCAAACAACAGTGTAAAATTTAGGGACGATTGGTTGTAACTCGGCTTTCCGCAATACGTTTGAAATTTCTATGTAAATTAGTATGGGAATACTTTTTTGCATTTGTATCCCTAGATACCACAATTTAGCATGACCAGTGCAACTAAGTAAGCACAAATGTAGTCGAGGAAGTGCTTAACAACTTTGCCAAAAGAATTACGGTGCTAGAATGTATCTAAAAAAAGTTATAACAATTCAAATATTTATGGTTTGAATTAAACACCAAAAATCCCATTTTCTGCCAACACTGCCGGTGTACCAATGGGAGTCAGATTCCAAACTGAAATAATTTTGGAGTTTCTTATCCTACTGATTTGGCATGTTCAGATGAATTATTCAAAAATCACGTTGTAGTGTAAATATTTAATATCCACTTGTCCGTTCATTTGTTAGTGAGGAGATGTTGTTTGAATTATAAGCAGTTGGAAAATTTTAAATTTCTATATTAAGCTTTTATTTGAAATATTAAACTGCCATTAGGGCCACCCGCATATAGAAAACACAGAAGTAGTCGAACATCAAAAATAAAACATAAAACAGGAGAAAACGAAAACTGTCTTCACCAGTTTCGTCTCAAACACAGGTACAGTCGAATTTCACTTGTTGGGCTATCTCTAAGTGAGCTACGTTTCAGTTGGGCTGCCAAGTCAAATGTCATTTCTAACAGTGCTGATTCCTTTTCGAAATTTCGACCGGCTTCATGCAAAAACCGGCAAACGAGCGGAGTAATGATACAGATTAAGTACATGCGGTACAACGAGTTGCTTCCTTGATGGTCGTCAACGATATGGGTGAATGAGGGGTGTAGCTAATTTTTGACTTATAAAGAAATCCACTCGAGACCTAGTTCAACAGCAAGGGACTGGGGGTACTCGCTTTACAACTACTCTTATGAGATTGAGCAAATGTTTTTAATAACCCATCCGAACAACTCGAGAGATGGGAAACTCCGAAGTTATGTTAGTCTTTATCTTTACTTTCATTGTTTTAAGTGAGGACCAGAAAGCAAACAGTAACCCCCCTCCCCCCCCTTATCGAACTACGCCTATTAAATGGAGCACATGTTTTTGTTTTTGATCAGAAACACCGGATTTATTGCAGTTTGAAGCTTTCCTTCCATTTAAATGAGTGAGGGGCGGGGGTATAGTTAGCCCTCCCATCTCTTAATATGCATATGATATTGAAAAATTGTTTTTGAATAATTCATCTGATCATTCCAAATCGATAAGATAAGAAACTCCGCAGCTATTTCAGTTTGGAGTCAGACTTTCATTGGTACACCGGCAGTGTTGGCAGAAAAAGGGATTTTCGGCATTTAGTTCGAACCATTGATCTTTGAACAGCTATAACTGTTTTTAGATACATTCTAGCACCGTACATTCTTTAGCAAAGTTATTAGGCACTTCTTGGGCTATACTTTAACGTATTTAGATGCGTGGTTTGTTCAGAGTTGTGGTCCCTAGTAATAAAAAAGCAAAAAAGTAGGTTTTCCCATACTAATTTCCATACAAATTTCAAACGCAATGCGGAAAACCGGGTTTCAATCAATCGTCCCCAAATTTTGCGCAGTTGTTTATTTATTTATTTATTTATTTACTTGACTTCGTATAATAAAAATGCACAGACAGAATTATTAATGTCTAGTTAAAGAACTAATCCTATTTTTATTCCTGGTTTTCGAAATATTAAAATCATAATCTTCACGCGATTCGTTGAAACGACGGCAGCAAACATCCAGTGGATTGTTTTGAACGTAGACTGTACGATGCTGAGGAATACGGAGAAGGTCATTTTGTCGCGTCTGCCTAGCCGGTGCATTGAACTGGATTTTCCCTAGAAGTTCAGCACAATCTACATTGTTGTCCAGAATGTCGAATATGAACAGCCGTTGCAGAAGAATCCTTCTATCAGCCAATGTTGAAAGACGAATTAAAGCACAGCGATCCTAGTACGGCGGAAGAACAACCGGATCGTTCCATGGTAACAGTCGTAGAGCGTAGCGGACAAAGTTACGTTGAATCTTTTCAATGCGAAAGCAAAGCGTGACGTGATACGGTGCCCATACTAGAACGCCATATTCCAGTACGCTACGCACTAGCGAACAATACTATGTTTTTAGACAGTATACATTCTCAAATTGCTGCGTGTTGCGCTTGATGAACTTTAGTATCGCATATGCTTTGGCGGTGGTTGTTGCAATGTGCTCGGTGAATTTCAGCTTACTGTCGAGTATTAATCCAAGATCCTTGATTGATGACACACGGTTGACACTTGAAGCGTTCATCTTATAATCGAAAATGGCAGTTTTCCTAGATCGGTTGAACGAGATGATGTTACATTTACGAATATTCACTTCCATTCCGTTTAATGAGCACCATTCAAGAAGCGAGTCGATATCCATCTGAAGAGCGCAACAATCGACCATGGAGGTTATCAGGCGGAAGAATTTCAGGTCATCAGCGAACATGTACTTCGGTGATCTGATGAATCCGCACAGATCGTTAACAAACAGCACGAAAAGTAATGGTCCCAAATGAATTCCTTGGGGAACCCCGGAAGTAATTGAGAACGTTTCAGATGAGGTTCCACCGAGGCGTACAAAAGCCCAACGCTCAGACAAGTACGATTCAATCCATTGAGTAAGCCACTGAGGGAATCCCATGCGTTTGAGTTTTTCCACTGCCAGTGCATGCGGCACTTTGTCGAATGCTTTAGAAAAGTCGACATAAACTGCATCGACCTGTTGTCGCTTTTCAAGGCTGTCCACAAGAGAAGAAACTTAGCACATCAGGTTGGTTGTTGTTGACCGCTTCCTGACAAATCCATGCTGACTCTCTGATATCACATGTTGAACGTTACGATACAAAGAATCATGGACAAGACTCTCCAAGACTTTAGGAAAGCAACTCAAAATCGAAATTGCACGATAATTTTCGACGTCATTAACATTACTACTTTTATGAATGGGAGTGATGGCTGCAGTTTTCCATTTGTTGGGAAATATGCCCTCCGAAAGAGATCTGTTGAAGAGTAGACTCACAGTCAAAGCGATTGACTCCGCACACCGATTGATGAAGAAAGGTGATAGACGATCTGGACCTGCTCCTTTCGAAGTGTCGATAGAAACCAGCTTAGCAAAAACATCTTGCCGAGAGAAGTTGTAGACGGTCACGTTCAAGTTGTAGGGCGGCTAATTGCTCAGGTACGATTCAGTCAAAGGTGGTTGGTTATTACTTTGCACACTTCGAAAGAACGCCGAGAACAGATTTGCAGATTCTGATGGAGATTCAGCTGCCTCACCTTGGTAACGAAGATGTCGAGGCATTCCTTTGGATCGCTTACGGGTCTTCACATATTGCCAGAATGTTGGGGGTCCTGTTTCAAACTTGCTTCAGTACGATGAATGTAGCAGCGAAAGCATTGTGCATACAAAGAGTTATATTCGCTCTCTAAGTCACGCAGCTCAGCCTTATGCTGTTCATTCCTAGACCGAAAGTAACGCTTCCTTGCCCTGCGGAGACGATTTCGCAGCCGTTGCAGTTCATTTTGTTCCACCATGGTTGTTTCTTCCTGTGGGTGTCGATCCGTTGTTTTAGAGGCACAACTTCACTGATGATTCCATAAAGCTTGTCGTAGAATATCGATACCGCTTCGTCGACACTGCAACCAATTAGAAGATTCACCCATCCAACGTCCGAAATCATTGAGCTCAAAACTGCTCACAAGCACCAATGGCTTATGATGTTCATCAACACGCAGTAGCGTCGACGGAGGCTCCACAAGCTCGAGTACATTGATATCAGTAGAGAAAACCAAATCTAGTATCCTTCCATTCGCAATACCATAATGATTCAACTGATGCAGACCATTAGCGATGAACGATTCAACCACAGTGAACTCCTGCTCATAAGACGTATTTGTAGGTAGCAAACATCGCAATTCATCATCATGGTCCCAATTCAAGAAGGGTAGATTGTAGTCACCAACAACAACAACCAAACCACGATCACCTGCTTGATCCATCAGTCTTTGAACACATGAACAGTGCTGTTCATACAATGCATTGTCGCTGTTGGGAGGGAGATAAATACAACAGACGAAGAGTTCAAATGTAGGCAGCTTGATCCGAACGATTATTTGCTCCAGACACTCGGTACGAGCAATCGAAACAGCGGCACTGTTCAATGCATTACGGATGCCGACCAAAACACCACCATCTTGTCGAAATTGGCTTGTTGTGGTGTTGCGATCACAGCGATAGATTGTATAGTTGTGTGATAATTCAGAATTTGAAATATCAGCACCGAGCCAGGTTTCGGTGAAAGTTATCACATCGTAGTCAGATTGGGATAGTGCTTGCAGTACTTGGTTTGTTTTGGTGCGTAACCCACGTACATTCTGGTAGTACAGCGTGGACGTACAATCTATATTGTTAGTGAATTGCTGCTGTCTATCAGTGGAGTCTGGATGTAAAGGAGTGGTTGTGTTTCGGGACTATGTTGTTGTGGTTATTGCCATATCAGTTGAACAGCTGATCATCTGTGAGTCTGCACCGATATCTAGGGCGCCCAGTGAACTACTGTGTTGTGGGTCCGAAGCGAAAAATAGG